CTCTTATCAGGATATAATCTGGTCACCCAGAAAGCCCTACATTTGGGGTGCCTTGTCCTCCTCTGCGGTGAGATCAGGATATCTGGTTGCAGAAGGCGGAGGGGTGAAAGGCAGAGTGGGAGAAAGAGAGAGAGGAGAAAGGATGCTCTTTCTTTCCCTGCCAGGAGGCTGCCTCCTCCATCCATCCTTGCCCAGAGCAAAGCGGGTCGGACAGGAGTCGGGAGGAGAGATAAGGATCTGGCGTGACGTCAAGGAGGGGTCTGGTCAAGGCAAGCTCTAGCCCAGAGGCGCTGGGTGAGAATTCTGCCAGTCAGAGGCAGAGACAGAGGCAGAGACAGAGGACCGCTCTGGACGCCAAGAGGAGAGAAGGCTGAGAAAAAAGTAAGCCTGGGAGAATCAGGTGAGAGGGAAGAAGAGGCGCTAATTGGGCATTAATTGGGCAATTAGGGAGAGCGGGAAGAATGGGCGGGAAAAGGTGCGTGGCTCGCACCCGCAAAGGGAAAGAGAGCGATAGAGAGCAGTGTGGATGCATCCGCACTGGGGAAATAACCCGGTTTGAGCGCGCTTTAAGCTGCTATGGCTCCATGCTATGGAATTCTGGTGGTGTGGCCCCAGAGCGTTGGGCGGTACCACCCCCAGAACTCCACAGCATGGAGCCATGGCAGCTTAAAGCGCGCTCAAACCGGGTTATTTCTCCAGTGCGGATGTTGTCCCAGAGAGCGCGCAGTCAGAGTTCTGGGGACAGGCGAGGAGATGCGAGTTTAATAGCAGAGTGACCAGGTGTGTCCTCTCACCGCCAAATGGAGGACCTTCCCCGCAAAAGGGAAGACCTGACCCAAGGGAAGCTCAAACCACTCCTAGCAATGAGAATGCATGCTCCTCAGGACCTACTCCAAAGGGAGGAGGTTTTTGGAAAGGTGGGACTGGAGGACAGGTCCTGGAAAAGGAGGACCTCTGGTTCCTCCAGAGGTCTGGTGTGGACCCAGGCAGAAAAGGAAAAGAGGGACAGAAGGATATCCCACCCGGCCATTTTCCGTGTTAGGAGAAACCCTTTGAAAACTTTCTTTGTTGTTGTTGTTGTTGTTCTTGTTGTTGTTGGGTGCCTTCAAGTCGTTTCCGACTTCTGGCGACCCTGTCCTGGGAGTTTGTCAGCAAGGGTTCTTCAGAGAAGGTTTGCCTGAGGCTGAGAGTGTGTGACTTGCCCAAGGTCACCCAGTGGGTTTCCATGGCTGAGTAGGGATTCGAACCCTGGTCTCCAGAGTCATATGAGTCATATTTCCTCTGAGGCTGAGAGAGTGTGACTTGCCCAAGGTTTCCATGGCTGAGTAGCCCTGGGTAGCCCTGGATTTGAGCCCTGGGTCTCTCCAGAGCTGCAGACCAACATTCAAACCGTTACGCCATCCTTGCTCTTACAGGTTTCTGTTGTTGTTGTGTGCCATAAGTTGTTTCGGACTTATTGCAACCCTAAGGCATACTTACCATGGGGTTTTCTTGGCAGATTTCTTCAGAGGGGGTTTGCCATTGCCAACCTTTGAGGTTGAAAGTGTGTGACTTACCTAGGGTCGCCCAGTGGGTTCCCATGGCTGAGTAAGGATTCGAACCCTGGTCTCCCGAGTCAGAATCCAGCACTCAAATCACTATGACAAGCTGGCTCTTGCAGGCTTCAAAGTTGTGCATTGCAAAATTAGGGACTTGTGTGTAGGGTGTTGTGGGCTTGTCTGTTTTGGGATAGTTTGGAGCATGCTAGTGCAGGTACATAAACAATATTTCTGGGACCCAGTCCTGGAGCCTATAATTTGCAGGTAAGTCTAGAGTCAGTAAGAGTTTCTAAAACATGTGCAGAGTGCACTTCCTTCACCGATGGCCATTCAACACCTCTGAAATCAGGAGGCAGCGTTTTCAGGATAGAGAGTCTGGACAGGCCGGACTTATGGCTTTATTTTGGACAATGATGGGCTTGCATGTTTAGTGACCAAGTGAAGAACAGCATATAAGACAGTCCATGTGGAAATCAAATTACTTGCTTTGTGTGTTTTCTATCAGAAAGTGTATTTTAGGTGGTGACAAATATCTAGGAAGAAACCGTTTTGATGCACGGAAGCAGCAACCAATCTTCTACTATACGGCTGGCAAGGCTCAGAAATATATTTTGTTGCTTAGATAGTAATGCACGCCAGAAACCCATTTTATGGATCAGTTCCTTGAAGTGATTGCAGTAAGATCAGGTGAGGTTGGATTGGATTGGAAGGCCTGCTGTGATAATTAACATGAAATGGAAATGTGGATCAGGGCGACTGAGCGGTGTGAGTTTGCCTGTGTTTGGGTATTTTATTTTTATGGCTACAGGTGCCGCTTTGTGCAAACAGCATGCTTATCTTGTGTTTTCAATGTGGTTTCCCACCTGTTGACCTAGACAGGGTTGGTAAGTCAGTCATAGTTTCCCTTTTTGCTAGTTAGAAAAAGGAGAGACTTTTGCAAGGGGTGCCTTGATGATGGCGATGTTGTAGTAGTCCTGTGTGTCTTGTCAATGCTTATCTGTGTTGAGTACCCACAACTTGAAGCAGCACAAGTAAATCTGGTACTCCTGGTGGGTGGCATCATCTGGACATAACACAATACCTAGGGTTTTGAGAGGTAAAATGTTAGTCAAAATGTGTGTCTTTGTAAAATGTTTTTGTTGCTAACCTCAACTGTTTATTGTTTATACAAAACAGGGACAAGAAGATTCAGCAGTCAGAAATTATAATTAAGGATGTTTTTGGAGAGGTGGATTGGCTGAAACAAACTATAATTAAGAGGAACTTAAAAAAAGAAATGTATTTGTTCTGGATATTTATCGTAAAAAATTAAATAGGATTTTGTCCTTAAAAAGTGAAAACAATACATATGTATTGGATACATGCTGATCACTCATGGAGAAGAGTGTAAATGAAGTGAAAAGTGATTATGAACAGAAAAAAATATTAACATAAAGTGTGTGGTAGATTAACCAGTCAGAGATGGTTTTTAAACATTTTAAGCAATTCAGTCAATACTCATATTCTGTTTATATTTTCATATACTTGGATGTCTGGACTTCCTTTATTTCTAGTGCTCTTGTATTTATTTTCTTTAAATACTTCATAATTGGACCTTGCACAATGTATGTGTTTTTAAATCCTGCTTTATGAAAAGGGCACATAGCTCCCACCATATAATAAACTGGATTTGTAAAAAATCACAAGAAGTTAACTCAAAAAATCATGCATGATTTCATTAGAGAGAAAAAAATACTTATTTAACTAGAGATTGTAAGTAGGTCCCAAATGCAGAAGCAACCATTGACCCTTCCTTATTATAACTAAGAACAAAAGAAAAGTAAATGCCTCTTACATTTGTTGTGGCGGATTAGGAATCATGTTCTCTCTCAAGAAGACCTTTATGAAAACAAAAAGAGATAATGCTTTTTAATTCTGGATTTGCACTCAAATATCCCTTTTTTAATGTTTGTAGTACAAGCCATTACTCAGGGGAAACTAAACCATGGCTTGGAGTGAATTTGGTGTCCTCAGCTGGCTCAGAGAGAGTCGACAATCCCGGAAACTAATCTTATTGATCGTCTTCATTGCTCTACTCTTGGACAACATGCTACTTACTGTAGTTGGTAAGTAGTCACCCCTACACATGAATATCCATCCTATATCGTATTTATTTATTTCACAAATATTTAAGAGCACAGGCAAAAATGGATAGTATTCTGAAAATGAAACTGACTTCTATGGAAAGAAATCCAATCATTTTGAAGGTATTCCTAAAACTATTTTAAAAATTATGTTACTACAGTACTGTTATTATGCATTTACTTTCATGTATATTTAACAACAGGGAGAGGTGGGATACAAATAAATTATTATTATTATTATTTATACATTGGGCGATACCTTGGAAAAAAGTTATTCATAAGAAAAAGGAACACAATAACAGTATCTTTTTAAATTATTTCTACAGTAACTTCCTTTGCTTGTGGTTTTGCAAACCAAACTGACAGAGAAGATAACACTTGAGATGTATGTTTCCTTTTGATTATCTTTTTTTTGTTTCTTTATTTTTATAAGATTATTTAGTGTTTGAAAGCCACAGTATTTACTCATCATAGATCTTGAAAGCAAGGACAAATTTAATTAACTTGCAGAGCTGCTTGTTCTTAACCAGAGCAAGAAATACTGTACCAACATCAAGGTGGAATACTATCTGACTTCATCAGTGTATGTATAATCAGTACCAAATGCACTTTAA